AAAAAAAAAACCTACAATAATAATACAAACTAACTAAACTTAGCACTTTCAAACTAAACCCTAATTCACCCATTCATCCATAAAAATTGTGGCAATTAAATGGTAACAAGGAAAGTAAATTTCGGGAGGGATTTTCCTCCTCCATCCCCCGATCAACTTCATTGATACGCTAGTAATGATGGCTTGATCTAAATGAAAGAAACTCAATTGACGCGACTCGATTCGATTTCAAATTTATCGAAATCCAATGTGATTACTGAATATTGAAAGATTAATATAAAAAAAAGGTTAAATACCTTTTTTGGTCCCTCTACTATAGGAAAAAGCCCCTTTTTAGTCCTTGTACCGAAAAAATTCCCTTTTTGATAATTACTGTTCACAAATTCGGCCTCTTTTTGGTCCCTCCGTTAAATTTTGGCTTACGTGGCATGTTAACTTAACTAGAATAGCTGACGTGGTATACAAACGCGTAAAATATGTTTATGTAGACTCCACGTCACCCTCCATGTCACCCCACTTCCTCCAGGTCACCCCACTTCCTCCAGCTTTTTTTTTTTTTTGTCCTTTTTTCCTTTTACCTTTAGGCGAACCCAACTTGTGGGTTTGTGATGAACCTAAGCGCCTGGGTTCATCGTGAATCCAGGATGAACCCAGCTTGCGCGATTGGGTTTGCGACTGGGTTCGCAATGAACCCAGCTCGTGTGATTGGGTTGGCAATGAACCCAGCTCGCGCCTAGGTTCGCGACATACCCAGATGCAAGCTGGGTTTTTAATCTCTGCCAAGTCGCGAACCCAGGCACGAGCTGGGTTCTCAATCCCTGCCAAAAATAAGAAAGCATGTTCTTCTCAAACAAACAGCTTTAGAAACATCCAACAACAAAAAACCCAAGAGCAGCAAAATTTTCAGGAAATTGAAAATTGAGGATTTGAAATTCCAGCACTCAATGTCAATGGCCTAAATTAGAAAATCAAACTGATCACCTCTAGGCAATTGGGTTCATCGCGAACCAACAAAACCTATTCAACTTCCTTCTTGGAAGAACCTGTTAAAAACAATTAATTAACCCAAGTCTTGGTGCTCAATTGATCACAGAATCATTTAACCAAATCAATCCAATCTTACCAACTAACATTTTTCTGTGCTTGAAGTGCCGTCGCGAATCCACGCTCCTGGCTTCGTCGCGAACGCACGCTCCTGGCTTCGTTGCGAACCCATGAGCAGGGTTCATCACGACGAACCCACGAGCAGGGTTCATCATGACGGCCCCACGAGCTTGGTTCATCGCGACGGCCCCACGAGCTGGGTTCATCGTGACGAACCCAGGCTCTTGGGTTCGCAACGAACCCACGAGCTGGGTTCATCGCGACGAACCCAGACTCCTGGGTTCGCCTAAAGGTAAGAAAAAAAAAAAAGAAAAAAAAGGCTAAAGGAAGGAGAGGATGGGAGAAGAAAATGAGGGTAAATTGGTAATTAAAAATAAAAAATTTGACCATGTCATCAAGTTTTGCCAAATGGATTTCACACATAATTTAAGTAAAGAAAAAAAAATTTTTTTTCCGTTAATTAACATGCCACGTAAGCCAAAATTTAATGGAGAGACCAAAAAGGAACTAGATTTGTAAACAGTAAGGATCAAAAAGGGAATTTTTTCGGTACATGAACTAAAAAAGGGTTTTTTCCTGTAGTAGAGGAACCAAAAAAGGTATTTAACAAAAAAAAAAAAACTTCATTCACACGTTTTCAATCCATCTGAATTGGGGAGTTATTGGAGAAACTATGTAAAAAATAAAAATTTTAATTTATTTAATAAGT